ACATTTTAATTATTTATTTAAGAATATATGATATTAATACATACATACATACATATAATCACGCCTCTTTCCCGTAGGGGTAGGCAGAGACCAGTTCTTTCCACTTGCTACGATCCTTACATACTTGTTTTGCTTCGTCCACTTTCATTATTCCCTTCATACATGCTCTACGGTTTAGGGTACTCTTAACCTGGCCTTTTTTCAAGACGTCCCTGATTTGGTCTAGAAATGTCCGCCTAGGTCTACCCCTTCCAACACTTTCATTCACACTCGCCTTATACACTTTTTTCGTCAATCGTTCTTCATTCATTCTCTCGACATGGCCAAACCATCTCAGCATACCTTTCTCAATTTTTGTCACTACATCTTCTTTCAGACCACAACGTTTCCTTACCTCACTATTTCTTAGCCTGTCACTCAGTTTAACTCCTATCATACTTCTTAATGCTCTCATCTCAACTGCATTTATTCTGCTTTCATGTTTCTTCTGCCATACCCAACTTTCACTTCCGTACATGAGTGTCGGAACCAACACCCCCTCATGCACAGCCAAACGAGCCTTGTTAGACACCTTCCGACTGCTCATAAAGGAGTGCAAAGCTCCATTCACCATGTTTCCTGCATTCACTCTTCTTTCGATATCACTCTCACACTTTCCATCTCTTGTAAACTTTGAACCCAGATACACAAACTCTTAATGCCAACACTTTATAAATACTGATATAGGTTATATTACTAAGGCAACTTAATTATGGTAGGTAGTGTAGAATTAGTAAATTTCTGTTTGTTGTAAATATACAGAATTATTTTAATGTTTTTGTCACTACTCATTATAAGATTATTCGTCAAATTTTATGCTTAATCGTAAAGGTATTAAAACGAAAAAAATGTGTTAGATATATATTTTTATATATGAAACTTTTTACCACTGACATTAATTTATAAAACACACAATATTTAATAAAACCAAAGTATTAATGTCGAATACGTATTTATAATATGTTAAGAAATTTCACTATTTTTCAGTCTTATTTTGGATCTAATGCAAATATGTATAAATACATATGCAATCACATAAATTTAACATGAGACCCAGCCCTCGATGGGGTGGGGCAAAGCATTGCAAAAAACGTCGGCACTCGGCCCTACAAAGATAGAAAATGCACCAAACCCGCCATTACAGAAAATTGGCTATACGATCCCCTTCACGTTGAATTGGGGATACTTTGGAATTTGAAATACTTAGTTTTTTATTCGTTTTGCTGGCAGGTAGAAATAAGAAAACTATTAATTTATTTTGTTAATATAATAAAAAATTGCATCATAAATATCAAGGTAAGTAATTATAATTTTAAGTAAAATTTCTAAATAAACAAGGCATACATTATTATAGCTTCTAAAATGTAAAGTTCTAAGTTAATGGATTTTATAACCTCAAGTAGGTAATTGACAAAAACGCATAAATTTTTTTTTTAAAAGTTAAAATATCTATGTGAATCTAGTCAATCCAAAACTGTTTATAGCAAAATAAGAAACAAATAATACGATCAAGACTATTAAATAGGTTTTTCTGTAACGTTACAAAATATTAAACGCATTACGTACACAGAAATGGGCATTGCAATTTAATCCTGTAGTAGTGGTTTTAAGGTATAAAATTTATTCAAACTGTAAAACGCGAAGTTTGATAAAGGGCCTGTCTTATTGTTCATTAAACTTGGATTAAGTTTGCGCACGATGGAACGAGCTGGCAGGCAGTTAGCGTCACGGGGAAAGCAGCAGGATGAGGGCACAAGAAACTTTATCAAAGAAACTTCGTCCGTGATAAGAATGTCTTCATTGAATGACTTTGATTTAAATAGCTTGAGACATTGTAGAATAATTGGTCTTCGACTTGCCATAGCTTGAAGTTGTGCTCATTATTTTATAGAAATAAGGGCGACAAACGAGTACACAGTCCAATTGATGATAAGTAGATGCAGTGCCACATACGAGTAGACGCCTTAATCCATCTTCGATGCAGACTAAAAATTATAGTCAATTCGGTTTAGTTCTCTGTGCTTACCATATACAATGTTGTAAAATGGCAATATGATTATATTTAAAGTGTATAGTTGGTAGCACTGTTTGGTTTGTGGTTTGTTTGTGTTATGTTGGACTATCTGTTTTCCGCTCTGCATTAGTAAGTAATCTATGCTCACTTACAATATCTAAACTTACTTGTCTCAGCACATGTATCATGTAATAGTAAATATGGTTAAATTAAAACATACATACACATATCAAGATATTTTATTTAATCTCAATATGTTTTTTAAATTTTAATAATTTAATCTCAACATGGCAGTATCATACTGCTATATTACGCTGATAGTTTGTGCAAGCGTGGTCCTTCCCCGTTTAACCAGTTCCGTAGCCAAAATATCCTCTAGCATTGTTCTAACATGTAAAGGTGATAAAGATCAGCGAAACCAGTGTGTATGTATCGGCTAATCGATTTTTCCACCCACCTTCAAAACGTGACTCACCACGACATTTGAACAAGACATCAATACCTAAATGAGCACATCTTTCAAGTAATGCATGTCAATTGGCACATTTTTGAACAGATTTGTGGACTAGGAAAGGCTGGTGATGATGATAACTATATAACTCTATTATTGGCTTTCATGTCTGAAAACATTCGATGTGTCTGTCCTGATATTTATTTCACCAATTTTCTAGGTTATTCTTGAAAATTCAACGACGAATCTGTTCAAATTAAGGTACTTGTTGGTGTGATCGAGTCATAAAAGTGAACTCATTGCAGTAGATAAAAGGCATGGCCGAGTCATAGTATTCGTTACTTCGAAAAATCATATCCATATAAATTTTGGATATCATGGCTAGTTACAAATATATTTATATGACATAATAGGTTACATATACCTAGTACTTGACTAATACTAGACTTAAACACATGACAAAATGTTCCTTATTCGAAATGTAATCTTTAAACTTGAATTGATTCGGTACAGTCTAAGATCCACGTCTGTTTACCTATTGATCGGACACCCATTGATCGGATGTTCCCACCTTTTGTGCCTGCGGCCGGTTGGAAGCCGATGCCGTGATTCAGCACAAACTACAGATGACCGTGATAGTAGCATTGTGATCGTCTAATTCAATAAAATCACCGGACATTTTTGTTTATTTGTCGGTACCCTTGTCGGGGCTCCTTAGTGTTGTATTAGCGGCTTAAGCCTCATGATAGGTAAGGCCGTGACTGTGCTTTGTTCTTGTTGCTTAGTTGGATGATTCCTTACTGAGGATTCTTGACTCGTCACGGAGCTTATTGGCTGTGACATGTTTAAGTAATATTGTTCAACTTATTTATAGCTAACTAGTAATAACAAAAAATATTTAAAAAAAACACAAGTATCTAATGAAAAGAGTTTAATTAATGTAAAAAAAATATTATATTAAATAATATTTCGTGTAATCATCAGCATTCTCACTAAGTGAACGTAGGCTAAGCAGTGGACTTTCACGATAGATTGCCTTGTAGGGGGAATATTTGCCTTAGTTGCCACATTAATTTCATATCAGAAATATGCTGCTGCCTATCTCTTGTTACCGTTTCTCCCTAACACCTACCTCTGACACAGATGAAGTGACTTGATCTTATGATATTTCCTTGAAATAGCACATTTTAATATAAATTTGTGTCATAAATTCATAGTAATTTTCAATATGCTTAAGTAGACCTTGTCAGAATTTTATGAGAGTAGAGTATTCTAAAATACCTATCTACTCTATTTACCCTATATATAGTGACAGAAAACAATATTATCTATTATATTAGAGAGAAAAACTAAAAACATTGGTTATTAAATATTTATCACTAAGCCACGACAAACACAGACCTTGTTTATTCGAAATTATTATTGAAACAGCTCTTTAATCTTCTACGCAATAAGTTTGCGTCGAATTTTATTCTGTTCTCCGTGAAAGGGAAAACTCCCATGAGAGAAAAAGACAACTGTAGTAGAAGTGGATCTACTGCTACCATATAATTGATATCCCTATCTCTATCATGTATATGAGTCGTGATCTAAGCGGAAAAGAGATAAAATATTTCAAACGTAACTACTTTAAAGTTTTAGTAAATGGGAATATATACTTTATACCGCATTGTTAAGGTTTATATTGTATAAAAAGTTTTTATAAGAGCGGTTGTAGAGCAGCTCCGCCTTAAAAATGGAAGGTGGTATGTAAAAATTGATGAACACGTATAGCCAGTCGTTAAAGTGACAGACTGCGCTGGCGTGTTGGGCAGTGTATATTGTCTCAAAATGTTGGGACTTTGCGCGCCTTTGCTCCCATTGTTTATTATCAAAAAGTGATAAATCAAATGACTCTGCAATAATTCTTATAAATGCAAAAATTTGTGAACTGTTTACGTAAAGATATAATATAACGCTATGTGACAGTGATTACATGCATTGTGGACGTTGAGACTTGTAAGTGAAATTAATTCGTGTATTATGGCAAAATAAAGATTAAAAAAATAGTAATAATTGTTGCACATGGCAACTTTGTACTTTAAGAGACTATTTTAAGCGATTGTATATTCCGCGATTTATAATTAAATTAATTTAAATTTTTGTGTACAGTGTAAAACATTTATTTTCATCAATTTAAGAGTAAGAATCATCAAGCTGCGATTGTACATGAATTCCGAAGTACATGAATTCATCATTATTAAAACATTTTACATTAAAAAAAATCTGTGTAATTTAAAAGATAGTAGACTGCTTTTTCGAGAATTATTTTTCAGGAATTTATTGTTACATTTAATATTAAATTAGTGTAACAATTATTACTAAATAACAGATGGAATTTAGACTGGGAATATAAGTTAATATAAAATGCGCAGTCTAAATGACATTTGAATGTCGGCCATATTAGCGGGCGTGTTAGTAACACGGTGATGCGGCGCGGCTTCGACCACGCCCACGATGAGTTCCTTCCTCATGAACGGTGGATACCAGCCACAGCCAGATCCAAAGTTTCCACCCTCCGAAGAATACAGTCAAGCGGACTATATCCCACCAGGCGAATACTATCAACATCAACATTTGCAATACGGCTACCAACATCAATATGCTCCTGTCCAAATCGGTACAGGATATGGATATGGAGGGTACTATCATCCATTACCACAGCACCCACCTGTCGCACCACCTCCGCGACCCCCTGAACCTTCACATCCATCTGATGCTGACCATGGCTACGTTCCTCATAGTGCTGAAGTCGCACCGGGGCTTGCGGAACTTGGGCTACGCTTAGAAAGGCATATTGAAGAAGCGGCTCCAGCAGGTCGTAAATTACATGCACTGGGCCGTGAAGGCTCACCAGCTTCAGAAATGGATGACGAAAGACTACTTTTAGAAAGTCCACCAGTGGAAGATGATGACTCCTCTATATGCTCGGACAACACAGATAGAGTCATTTATCCGTGGATGAAGAAGATTCATGTAGCTGGGGCATGTAAGTATAAAATCTAGTATTGTCTTTATATTAAATGAAAGTTCTGGAGACATGAGTTTAATAAAAAATAGTATAAATTGTTGATGGAAGACAATATAACAATTTAACCTTTTAAGTGAGTCGACTAAAGTTGAATGAGGGACCATTTTACTGGCGGCAGAAATTCCTTTATGACAGATCTATCACATAGAGACATAACGACTTCATTAGGTATCATACTAGATAACAACAAAAGTAATTTTACGTTTCACGTCACGTCATAACAAAAATTAAAACATAGGAAAACGAATGTAGTTTGATAAGAGCTTATTATCAATGTTATTAACGTTATAGTTATTATTCTCGTAACTTTTTAAATATTATAAGCCAGTGCTTCACCACTATCCTATCGGACGGTTAGCTTAACAAACGCATGTTCACTCTTGCCTTGAAGACACCCACATTGTAATCGGATTGAAAGACAGATGCTGGCAACTTAGCGCATTCCCTTACTGAATCATGACAAACAACTAAGCAAAGCATTTGGTCCGAATCTGTAGTAAGTCGAGAAGGAAAGGGTGGACACTAACCGAGTGTTTGGTTGTCCGATTGTGGAAAGGAGAGGGAGAAATAAAGTTGTGCAATTACTCCGCACTCTCTCCTATAATCTTTGTAGAAAACTTAAAGGTTAGCTTCTTTGCGCCTGTGCTCGAGACTGGTGAGATTAGTTATAACCAGATACAGGTCACCGATAAGCCTCTTAACACACCTTTCCATTGAGCACGAAGTACCTACATGGCTGGTACTGCATGTACGACCGGACTTGCGCTTTATGTAAAGTAAGCAGATTTCCCGACGTAAAGTACCGCCGCATCTTTACAAGGACACCGAACCACATGAGTATCGCGTTTATTTACACATGTGACCGAACTTCCTTGCAGCTGATTTGGCCTTGGACTCAACCGTTCAAAGTTCAGGTTCGAGGAAATCTTAATCCCTGGCAACTGAAGGCGGTCGGTGTATTCTAGTGATACAATTCGGAAAGAAAGAGCTATAGTATGCTGGCTCTTATTTGCAGTAAAGAGCGCTTATTTTAGAGGTGTTGAATTTCACAAAATTGGCATCGCCCTATTCGAAAACTCTCTGTTGTAAGAGATTCACACGCTCAATTTTCCAGCTAAATAAATCGAAACAATATAATTACTTTCGTGAACGATACGAAATAGAAGTTGGCTTGATCGGATAATATAATATTGTGCAGTCCATTCTTCACCATCTTAACTACCTACGTTTACTTTAATATATGTTAAAATTATTTGAAATTGACGATTTCAAACAACTATGCTTATAACGTCTGAGTTTATTTCTCATATATATTATGAAAGCAAGACATTTAATAATTTTAGTGACAAATATATATATATATATATATATATATATATATATATATATATATATATATATATATATATATATATATGTGTGTGTGTGTGTATATATATATATATATATTCCCGTACTTTAAATAGATCATAAAAAGGTTTAATTTTTATGTCGAAGTACACGAATAGTACACATATGATAAAACTGATTTTACGGCCTTTACAGCGTTTAGTTTAATTAAATGCTATAAAGGCGTCATCAATTTTTTTTACGTGGTAGAGCCATGCTGCAGCTATATTAGTAGTATAGTTGTAGCACGAATGGGTCGGCTCGACCGGGGAAGGACCACGCTCTCACAGAATATCTGCGTAAAATAGCAGCTTGACACTGCTGTGTTTCGTATGGTGAGTGTAGAGAACCGGAGACCCATTTTACTGGAAAAGAGGCATACCATCTTAGTCCTCACGGGTGACGACGCATCTGCATTTTGATTCTTTATTGAGGATAAATGTAGATGTCTATGGGCCGCAGCAACCACTTTCCATCAGATGGACTGTGTGCTCGTTTGTCACCCTATCCTATAAAAAAAATTATTTATTTTAATTCATATATACATATACATATAAACATACATACATATAAACATAAACACTCACGCCTGTCACCCAGAGGGGTAGGCAGAGACTACGGACTTCCATTTGGCGCGATCCTGACACACCTCTCTCGCCTCTTTCACATCCATATATCTACGCATACACGCTCGTCGGTTAAGGGTACTCCTAATCTGGCCCATTTTCAATGTATCGCCGATCTGGTCGATAAACCTTCGTCTAGGGCGTCCCTTCCCGACCCTGCCGTTCACTTCTGCAACATAAATTTGCTTTGTCACTCTTTCCTCGTTCATTCTTTCTACGTGACCAAACCACCGAAGCATTCCTTTCTTAATCCTTGTCACAACGTCATCTTGCAAACCACACTTTTCTCTTATTACACTATTTCTCACCCTGTCATTCAGATTCAGCCCTAGCATACTCCTTAAGGAACGCATTTCTACAGCATTTATTCTACTCTCATGCTTCTTCTGCCAGACCCAACTTTCACTACCATACATTAAAGTCGGTACTAACACAGCATTATGAATTGCCATACGTGCCTTAGTTGACACATTCTGACTCCTCACAATAGCGTGTAGAGCCCCATTCACTCTATTTCCTGCGTTCACTCGTCGTTCTATATCCTTATCATATCTACCATCCCTGCTAAATAAACATCCCAAATATACAAACTCATCCACTTGCTCAATCAACTCCCCTTCTATTCTTATTTTACATAAAGTTTTACTTTCTTCTCTTTCAAAAACCATCACTTTCGTCTTACTTGCGTTCACTTTCATACCCCTTTCTTTCAATGACCAATTCATTAAAGTAACCATCATTTGCAACTCGGCCGCCGACGATGCAAATATGACTTGATCATCGGCGTACAAAAGGCATTTGACGGTTGACTCACCCATTCTCAACCCACATTCTTCAACTTTCAAAGTTTGCAAACAACTGTCCATAAATAGGTTAAACAGCCACGGGGAAGCCACACATCCCTGTCTGACACCTTTATGAATGCCAAACCAGTCCGAGTAGACCCCGTTGATCCTGACACAAGCACTAGAGTCCCTATAAAGAGACCTTAATGCCTGTATCAAGCCAGCGCTCAACCCAAATGAGTTCAGTGTTTGCCATAACACGTTCCTGTCCACTCTGTCATAAGCCTTTTCCAAGTCTAAGAACGCACAAAAAACTTTCTGGTTTTTAGCCAAAAACTTCTCCGCTATCATGCGCATGGAAAAGACTTGATCCGTACACCCCATCCCCTTTCTAAATCCAGCTTGCACATCCCAAATTTTTCCTTCAGTTTCTTCCATAACTCTTTTAATTAACACCTTAGCATACAGTTTACCCACAATGCTAAGCAAGCTGATACCACGGTAGTTTTTACAGTCCTGCTGCGACCCCTTTCCCTTATATATTGGGACTACAACGGCTTTGCACCAGTCTTCCGGTACCCGTTTCAGTTCCCAACATAAATTAAACAAGGTGTGCAGCAGGCCTGCAACCACACCCTCACCAGCCCTTAGCATTTCGAGTGATACTCTATCATATCCGGCTGCCTTACCTGCTTTCATGCTTTTCATTGCTTTCATTATTTCATCTACACTTATCTCCCTACCTCTCTCCACTTCTTCCGGAATTTCTATTTCACTTATTTCAGACGACTCTTCACTCTTATATATAGATATCCTTCTATCATTTTTATCTATCCTTTCTTGCTTTTTCCTTTCAACAACTTCTTTTACTCTCTTATTTATACGTCTAAAGTTTGCCTTTTTTCTTTCAATCTCATCATTCATACCGCCAGAATTACCAGCTTTAGTTGCTAGTAAATCTAGCCATGCTCTCTTCTTTGCTTCAACTTCCATCCGTACCTCATCATCCCACCACAACGTATTACTTTTCCTTTCATTCGTTCTCTTACTTACACCGCATACTTCGGTGGCTGCATCCACCAAAACTTTCTTAATATTATTCCATACATTCTTCAATTCTAAATCCTGTTAAAAAGAACACCGATTCGTGAGGCTATTAAAATTAAAAACGTACAAAGTTCAATAGAGAAGATGGCTGGGTGCAACGACCTGAAGGGATTTTATAATTAATAAAATTAAATACACTGCAAGACTTCAAGGTAATGTAAGCTCGTTCTGCGTAGATCGTACCAAATGTTAATGTTCAAAAGCTGAAGTTACACGGGTTAATATGGTATATTTTAGCTACTTGGGTTCTTATTAGTAGCCGTATAAGATTTTTTAAATTTATTTTCTAGTTGAAAAAGTTATTCATGATTTTCTTCAGAAATTTCTTTTATCATCATCAATGCTGCTAAATATAGGGGAGAGGGAAAGGAGGGATATTTGCTTTAGTTGTCACGCTTGGTTGGCTGGCTGAAAAAAGTAGTTTTTTCTTATTCTGAGTATATACCGGGAAAATATATGTTGCTGCCAATCTCAAATTCTGTTTCCCTCTAAATCCATGGGATATAAGGTAGTGGATTCTCTTACGTCACCACTATATCGCGATTTCAATATATCTATAAATTAATAATTACTAATTTCTTTATGTGTTTCATTGAAATTCTATTATTATTAACTGGGTATCATTTTATCAACATAAATAATATCCTTGTGATATTCAATGTAATTAAAATTGTATGTAGATAGAGTTCAATTATTAAAATATCCATATATTTATTTTTTATTTAAAACTAGCTTTTTATGAAACGCTTCAACATCTAAGCCTGTTTATAACTAAGTGACAACTTCTGAATATCATTAAACGTCATTCAATGAAAAATTATAGTCCAACAATTGTTCGCTTTCCTTATCCGATGTAATTAATAAAATATATAATAATAAAATATTACAGAGAATTAACCTACACGTCGAATTTGTAATGAGTTTAAATGCAGTGTCAGGGATACAATAAGGACTGATAAGAAATAATTTTCTTGGGCTCAGAAAATGTAGATATAGATATAAGTTATATGTAATATTTAAAACCCTATATATAAATACCGTATCATTCATA